ACTCAAGACTATTTTTATGTTAACTGCCATCATTCATAATTCAGATGTGATTAAAAACTATCATTCTATATTCTAATACACCAGATGATTTCCCAACCCCTGTACCTGTATTAAATTGAGATATTAAAAAGCTACAAAAGTAGAAGGTTGGAGTAAATGTATCTTACCACAACAGTGTATGCAGGGAAAGAAAACTACCACCTTCACTAGCTCAGAGACAACTACTCTGATGCAAGATTCAAATATAGCAGCTGTTTGATGGCAACAGGTAACTATTAATTTTCTGGAACAAGAATAAAATATTTCAGTAACAAGTAATCAACTTCAAGTGAAACAAGCAACCTTGGGCAAATCTGAGTTGGTAGTTTTTGTATATACAATCAAGCAGAGTCTACCAAGAATCTTCTAGAATGCATGTCCAGCTCCCATTCAACATTTTACCTATCTTAGACAAGCATGCTCTAAACAATATTGAAATTTTATGACAAGGAACAGTAATAGAGGACTGCCAACCTATTAACTTCTCTTCATTCAAATCCATTTTAAGGCATACATCTGTAATGATACTCCCAAATACTGAGTCAATCATTCTTTAAAAACTGAGCATCTAGATATGCTCCTGATTAAACTCTGTATCCAGCTGTTGCCCATGTCATTTTTCTTCCCTATTTGTTATCCTCAACCTATCCTGCCATCTCTGAAGTTAGATTTAGCTCTTTGGGAAAAGAGCCTGTCTTTCTAGTTGTTCTGTAAAGCACCTAGTGGGGATCTTTTGTTTTTGAGAACTACACAAAATTTCTCTCCAGAGATAAACAAAACAAGCTAGTTAAAATGGTTCTAACCACTATTACATAACTAGTACTTGACATAATGCTTTTCATTGACAAATTCCAAAGTGCTTTAAAAAGGTGGTTAAGTATCATTAACCTGAGAGCTTCAAAAAAATCTACTTGCTTTGGGTAAGCAGATAGCCTGAACTGTCAAGTTAAAATGAAACCTAACCAGCAATATCTGCAGAAATTTTTCATTTAAAAAATAAATGTCTAGTCCTAATTGCTGAAGAAATGACTTCAGAAAGAGCCAAAACTCATGTACTGTTTTCATGACTCTGCAGACAGACAGCTCCAGTACTGCTGCTAGCCATAGCTTATCCAAACAGCAGCAGAGTGAAATTTAAAACATTTTGGTCAGATTTATTGCAGTTATTCAGAACCCAGTGGGCAGCTGTAAAACTGTCAATCATATACTACTACTGTTTGAGAACGCAAGCATTGCAGCTAGTCATAGTGGAAGAGGAACCAAGCAGAGGGCTGACTGGGGAAGGAGTGATGAAGACCTTACCCCTCCCCCTTCACCCAAAGAGTTTCTATGGGAAGGGTATAGAAGCAGAAACCCACATGCAACAGCAAGGATGCTCTGAAGGTGGTGATGAGACAGGAAGTGTCTTCCTCAACGAGAGCAGTTTCACATTTATCTGATAACTACTTGCAAGAAGCTGATACAAAATAGGACATCCCCAATCAGGCTTCAGGAAAAAGACCCAGTAACCGCTCCCTTTCCAATAGCTGGGAATGATCAGGAGGGTCTCACTGCCCTTGGACTTTGCCCTTGGACTTTGCAGAGGGCTACGCCCACCTTCATAGCTAACTCTGGCTAACAGGTGTGAAATTTCGAAGGCCTGATCCCCTATATTGTAGCTGAGAAAACAGAAAAGAAGTGACTTGTCTAAGGATGCAGAGTTGGGAACAAAACCAATGTCTCCAAATTCCCAGTACCAGCCTCTACCCTCTAGACCAGCAAACTTGTATACCGGCAGTAAAATGCCGACCAATACCCAAGTAAGCTAATATAACTGACTTTCTATGAAATCTTGCTTGAAGATTTCAATCTTGTTCAATGTAAAGCCTTGAAGTACAAAGCTAACTCCTTCCACTTACAACACAATGATCCAAGCCCCAAAACTGCTAGTTCACTATCTCAACTAACATTTTAATGCCAAAACACTTAACACATCATACTTTCATCAAAATGCATAATACGAATATTAAGCATAGTTTCTTTTCATCCTACATTACAGTGATACAAAGAACCCCACCCCTAAACAGAAAAGCATCTCAAGAATCCTTGGTCTGACTGCAATGCTTGCTCTAGTGATGTTCAATTGTAATTTATGCATAATTCTTATTTATGGCATGGTAATATTTTCCAGGCTCTGCTTGGCAATTGCAGACTTATATTTGAGAGTCACTTACAATATTTCCAAGAAAACACTGCCTAGTTAACATGAGAAGTTCAAAGGAATATATAGCAATCTAGTATTCTTTTTGAACCTTCTTACTGCTCCAACTGGTTTCTGCTTTCATAAAGAGAAAAAAAGAGCAGTGAAACTGATCATTGTAATTACGTTTCTGGAATAATCTCTTCAGTGGAAAGCTTTACAACCACCTGTCTGACAATTTGGTTCTACTCTGCTTGAACTGCCAACAATAATATACATCAGGAAAGTTAAATTTATAATTTGTTTCAGCCCTGTACAAGTCACAAATACCTGTAGCTATTTGATTTTATACCTTGAGGAGTTATAAAATAGCTTGGAAGGAGAGATATCATCTGATTGGCTGAAGTTAGTTCCAAGCCTACAAATTATATACTATAAATCATCTACCTGCTCAACCACTACCGCTCAAAACATTGAAGTCATTTTACAAAATGGCATGGGTAAAAACTGCTTTAGATTACTTTAAATGCTTAAGTTTAAAGTATTTAAATAGGACTTCCATAGCATATGTCGGTGCTGTTAATGACTGAGGGGATCTTCGGCAAATCATTTTTCGTAGCCAGGTACTTTCCCCATCTAACTCAGTTCCTTCCACTACCATGTCTCTCCTATCCTCCTTCCTTTTCTCCCGACCTGTACATTTCGGTCAAACACATCAGTTTACGAAATGCTGCTTGGGTCCCAGCACAAGACTCCAGCATTAGCATCTTCACTCATGCCACTACTAGGCCAGACCAATGTTCCCTCTAATTTTTTACACCCATCCATGTGCAGAATGAATTTTGTTATGTGCACCAATATGGAGATGATGAGTGGCAGGGGTGGGGCTGAGGGGTCTGGAGTGCGGGAGGGCTCTGGCTGGGGGTGGGGATAGGACTTGGGGTGCCGGAGGGGTCTCAGGGCTAGAACAGAGGGTTGTGGTGCAGGGGCTGAGGGCTCTGACTGGGGGTGCAGGTTCTGGGGTGGGGCTGGGGATGAGGAGTTTGGGGTTCAGGCTTCCCCGGGGCTGCAGCAGGGAGAGAGAGGACTCCCCCCAGGCCCCTCTCGCCGCGGCAGCTCTGGGACTGGGGGAGAAGGGCCTCTCCACAGCCGTGGCAGCTCCAAGGCCAGGGCTGGGGGGGAGAAGCACCTCTCCCAGGCTGCGCACCTGCACAGCCCTTGATAGCCTGCTGCGTGGCTGCGCAGCTTAGAAGGAACTTAGGCCCAGACCCTTTGATACTGATGTGGTTTAACGATGGCATCAAAATAAACCATTTAAAAAAAAAAAAGCCCTTTAAACACAACTAGGAGACTTGTTCTGACAGCCACTATATTTTCATTGTGGCGACAGCAGAGACACCTCAATTAATGATCTGCTAATCTGCAGCAAGAGGATACTGGCACTGGAAGCTCAGGCCAGCTCTCAGACAACACTTTAGGAGTTGAAATTCCAACCCAAAAAGAATTTGGGAGAAGTGAAAGAAGAAGAAAAAACAGGACAGGAGAAGATAAGTACTGGACTAAAAGTAGCCCTCTCAATGGGTAAGTCAGAGACACAGTTAGACACACCCTCTCATATCTGCATCCTAATTCTCTGCCTTAGACATGTGGCTGGTGTGTCTTGATCACATGCTCAGGGTCTAACTGATCGCCAGATATAGGTAAGGAAGAATTTCCCCCCCTGGTCAGATTTGCAGGGATTTTAGCCTTCCTCCTCAGTATGGATTACAGAGTGAGTGCTGGGATCATCTAGCCACATCTCACCTAATCAGTTTCCTGCCATTGCAAGGACTTTGGTGGCACCTGTCTCTCCTGTTCGCTGCCTGTGGCAAACAATAGTTTAGTCTCCTAAGAACTAAATGCTTTATTCATCTAAAGTAACTGGACTCAACACAGGGGTATTTGACTGAAATGTAATGGCCTGTAAGACTATATAATCTAATGATCCCTTCTGGCCTTAAACTCTATAGTTTTCTCATGAGCAGGGCTGGGGGGAGCAGGAAAAAAAAGAACAAAAATAGGAAATTAAAAAGAAGAAAACAAGCCAGAAGACAGAAAGTGACATCAACCGACAAAACAAAACAAAAAAAAGAGACAATGGCAACTACATTGAGACAAAGCATAAACAAACATGGGGTGCTGATCCTCCAAGGAATTCTCCAATAAAAAAAACACAGTAATGGAATGCTGCAATATTTGGGTTGCTTACACTACAGGAGAATGTTACAGAAAAAGAAATCCCATAAAACACAGCTATTTACCAGAAATATTTCTGTTGGAAAAATAGTTACAAAAACTAAGTTTGGGTAAAACTTTACTAAGAATTCTGTTAATTCTTTTTGTAAAGCTTGTTAAAATTACACAGAGGTCAATGGTGTACCGCCCACCTCCCAAAACATGGATGACCTTTAAGTTTTAGAGAGCAGCCCCAGGAAAAAAATCAACCCCACAAAAATGTGCTTCTATCATACCTATCTATGAGAATTAAAGACAAACAGGATAGGGAGAAACACAGGTTGTACTTAGTTTCAGGCCTAAATTTTCATGTCTATTTACACAAATTAAGTTCAGCATATATCAGCAGCACGATAAATCTATAGGTGTCTTTTTTTAAAAACTACATATTATACAGCAAGATATATAGTGAGCACACCAAAAATCACTCATGATAAGAAAATAACTATACATAAAAAAATTTTAAAAACTCAATATTTGTTTCTAGAAAGACAGACAATTTCATTACCCATTAAGTTTTGTTGAACATGAAGGCACTTCTAAAAGCAGAAAGTAGTATCTGAAAGGAAGAGAATTGGGGAGGGGGGAATTATATTACAACTTTAAAAGCAGTATTAAAGTGAAATAACAAATATATTGGCTCATTTAAGTCTACTTCTGTCTTATTCATGTGCTATTTCTTGGAGTGATTACAAGATGGTGGGGCACAAAGTTGTTGCGAGTATGTTTTTGCAAGTACTATTATTATGCAGCCATCCCAAAATCACCTATAGCTGTGTCACTGTAGCATAGACACTTACTATGGAAGGTGTTTTTCCATGGCTGTAGTAAATTCACTCGGCGAGACGGTAGCTACCTCTACAATAGGGGTTAGATCAACCACCATGTCATACAGGACGGAAAGTTTTTCATAGCCCTAAGCTTCAGCCAGGTATTGACCAGGCCTATTACGCCAAACCCTGACAGCCCTAACACTGCAGTGTAAGGTCCGTACAGGTTCCCCCCGCCACCCCACACAGGTGTCCCAAAACCCTGACCCCGCCACCCCACCGTGCCATGCAGCCCACGCCACCCCCGTCTTGCGCCGCCCCCGCCAGGGAGGAGTGCACTCTCCTGCGGAGTTTCGCAGTTGGGGGAATTGCAGGAGCCTGGCGGCGGGTGCCTGAGCACCTGGTCTCCGTCCTACAGGCTCTGTACCGAGCGGACCGGCGCTCCCTACCCGGCGGGGCTGGGCAGAGAGGGCGCTGCCTACACCTCAGCGATCCCCAACAAGGAAGCGACTCAGGAGGAAGCGGCGGGGAGGCGCCGCCACCCGCCAGCCTGAGGGCTAGGATTCCGCCCACGGTAGGTGGGAGACTCCCAGCCGCTAGCCGGGCCAGGCCATGCACACGCCGCCGGGTCGCGTGCACGGCGGAGGGAACGGCCACCCGGCCCCGCTGCCCCCTCAGCCGGTCCCCGCCCCGGTGCGCAGCGGGCGCTGAACTCACCGGGGGCAGACGGGGTTGCCCGCTGCGCCGCGGCGCCACCCACCTCCGGAAAGGAGCCAGTCGCCGAGGGGGCTGCGGGGCGGGACCTCTCGTTCGCACGGCGCGGCCGCCGCACAGAGCCTCCTGCAATGGCGGCAGTGGGACCCACCGAGGCGGCGGCAGCCGGAGGGGGAAGCGGAACCGCCGCGCGTGGCCACAGCCCAGGAGGGGAAGGGGGAGGGGCTGCCCCTCGCGCAGATGTTCACGCGCAGGGCGCGGGGACTACAGTTCCCATGACACAGCGGCAATGCGGAGGGGGAGGTGCTTCGATTGAGGACTATAGTTCCCATGATGCAACAACGCGGCCGGGCTGCCCCCGAGACAGGCAGCCGACGTTGCGCGGAGCCCGCTGGAAAGTGTTGTCCTGGTTAATCAGCACCTGTCCGGCCCCGATTCCCAACGCGGGACGCAGGCGGAAGCGGAGCGGTCCCGCAGCCCCCTCCCCCACAAGCCATACGTCATTTGTCTTAAATGCTGGCCTCCGCTGGGGGGCTGTGTTCTCCCATGCGGCCATACAGCGCCTAGCACCAATCCTCAGCCTCTCTGCGTGTTCCTGTCTAAAGAGGAGCCACAGGCATTTAAAGTATCAGGGGGTAGCCGTGTTAGTCTGTATCTACAAAAACAACAAGGAGTCTGGTGGCACCTTAAAGACTAACAGATTTATTTGGGCATAAGCTTTCGTGAGTAAAAACCTCACTTCTTCGGATGCATACTATGACTCCTAGGCATTTAAAGCAGCACCCAGTCGGTCACCCCTGTCCAGGCAGCTAAAGACAGAGCTTCGCCCCCTCCCCCACCACGGATAGATTCACTTACCACGAGGGGATTATTTCCCTCATTTAAAACAAAACCCATGTATTAATACGTGCCTCAGTCAGACTACACTTGCAGGCTTTTTATTTTCTCATTGTGGGCATACAGGCTATGGAAAAGCCTGGAGTCCTTTGCTTTGCTGAGCTGTGCAATTCTTTCCCCTTTTGGGGGCAAAAAGACTTTTTTAATAAATACTATCCTGTCCAGGTGCAAGTGTGTGCTCTTGCCAGCAGCTCCTAACCTGCAGTTGGACTGCTTATTTTCTTGCTCTTTGATTTCCTGTTACTTTAAAATGGCAACCCCAATAGCCAGGGGGCACTAAAATGCTGCTTCACCCTCAAAAGTCCTGAGGGCCTGAGAAATCCTACAGAAGACTGATAGACATTTATGTGTGGGAGCCAAACAGGCAGCAACTGACAAGCCTTTGGTTAAAAACGAGGAGTCTAGTGGCACCTCTGGATAGTTGCCTACAGTCCCTACAGATAGATGGCTGTTATTTGTGAAATAAACTACTTCAAAATGCAAAATTCCTTAAGTAATATATTTCCTGAGTAGTAGCCAAACATTCTCTAATTATTCTATAGCACCATTACTGTACGTGGCAAAACACAGATTGAGAGCTGGTTGCTTTCTAAAAGAGAGATGGAATTGTCGGAGAATAGAATCTCTGGTCATCTACACTTTTGTCTATTGCTAATTCACACTTCAGCTCTGACTTCCTTTCTTCTGAAATTTGATATATTTCCTCAATATGTCTTAGAGTGCTGAATAAAATGTCTTTACCATGAGTGAGGGAGTGGGTATCCTGCTTCTTTATTGCAATAGGAGACAGGACACAAATTGTCTCCTTGAAATCCACATTTTCTTGTATTTCAGAGACAATGTTAGTTTATTCTGTGTTTGTGACAAAGTTATGCAAGGATGTCTGGCAGCACCAGGTGGCTGCATCTCACATCCCTACAAATATACTTTACTCATCCTTCCTCTTCCCTTAAGGTGTTTGGGGGAGGGGGAACTAATGCTTGTATCAACATCACTGAAGAAAAATTAACCATGTTTGAGCAGAGTTCTACATTCCTTAAGCACCACCAGTCTCTGCAGCTCGTAGCTTGCAAGCTTTTTCTTGCCCTACCATCAAAACACATTGGTAGTTAGGGGGAACAAATGGCAGCAGCTTCCACTATTGCCATCCTCCACCATTCACCGTTGTGTGCCACTCTTCTAACACAGGGGTGCCAATAGCAGCACTCAGGATGGGTTTGTGTGGTCCTACCCACAGCTAAAGGCCCTTCTCCTCAGCCTACGGGGAGCAACCAGTACACCCAGACATTAAAGACAGGTTCAAAATCAAGGATGCAGTGGGGGACACCAAGCAGAGACTCCCCCCCCCAGACAGCGCCAACTGCTCCTCATAGGTGTCCAGGGAGCCAGTGGACACTGCCCAAAGGAACTCTTCCCCCACACATGACTTAAGGGAGGATCTGAAGTAGGCCCCACAGTCGCAGAGCACCCCCTACCCCATCCAACTTCCTCCCCTGGTATAGTGGCCGGCTATCTTGGCCAGCATCAGGAGGAGGTTGATGAGGCAGTCTCGCAACTTTGTGAGGCCACAAATAGGGTGTGTGTAAATAAAGAGGTGTGGGGAAAAGTGCAGCCAGAACTGAAGGAGAAGGTTCTGCAGCAGTAAGCGTACCTCTTGAAGTCCCTAGGGGTGCAAGCCATACATATTGGAAGGCCCCTCCCACAGCCTAAGGGGAGGAGCTACTGAACCCAGGCCTCAAGCAAGTTCAGGGGGCAACAAATTATAAAACAGGAACAGGAGAGAGAGTCAGAGGGTCATAAACAGGGAGTCAGAGGGGGACGCCTAGCAGAGAATCCTGGACAGTACCCACTGCTCCTGGAAGGTGTCTAGGGAGCCAGTGGATGCAGCCCAGAGGGCCTCTACCCAGATACGTGAGCGAAGGGAGTAATGGAAATAGACCCCACAGTCGCAAAATACCTCCCTGTCCAGCATTCTCCTCTTGTTATGGTGGATGGCCACCTTGGCCAGCATCAGGAGGAGGCTGATGAGGCAGTTTTGCAACTTCATAGGGCCACAGATAGGGTGTGCATAAATAAGGAGATGCAGGGAAAAGTGCAGCCAAAATTGAAGGAGGAGGTTCTGCAGCAGTAAGAGAAGCTGAGAACAGCATGCTTAGTCTCCATGGCTTCTCCAGAAGCTGCCTATCACAGATTTAATCTTTGAGTTGACCTCCCAGCTCATCCACATGTCCTGACCCCTCCCTTTTGCTAAGCTCTCCTTTCACCCCAGGTTTCATGCAACAGCTGATTTTCCTTCAAAATCAGAAACACCAACTTCTCCCACCTATCAGGCAACTTGTTTTCACACAGCCTTGGAGAAGTAGCAGACTTTAAGACCTATCCACAAGGTCAGAAGCAATCTCTCTATTAAACTTTCCAACTTTTGTTGCTCTCAACTGTTTCCTCGACTCCTCTCCACCCCACCTCTCTTTTGACAGCATATGCCTTTAATACACAGGGAAATTGACCAGCATAACTATTCCAGAATAACTTCATGTGCAGACACGAATTCTGGAATAAAATGACCATGTGGAAGGCCTGGTCTACACTATGACTTTAATTCGGATTTAGCAGCGTTAAATCGAATTAACCCTGCACCCGTCCACACAACGCAGCCATTTATTTTGAAATAAAGGGCTCTTAAAATCGATTTCTGTACTCCACCCCGATGAGTGGAGTAGTGCCAAAATCGATATTGTCATTTCGAATTAGGGCTAGTATGGCCACAATTTGATGGTATTGGCCTCCGAGAGCTATCCCACAGTGCACCATGGTGACCGCTCTGGACAGCAATCTGAACTTGGATGCACTGGCCAGATAGACAGGAAAAGCCCCGCGAACATTTGAATTTTATTTCCTGTTTGCCCAGCGTGGAGAGCACAGGTGATCACAGATAGCTCATCAGCACAGGTAACCATGCAGGCCGATAATTGAAAAAGAGCACCAGCATGGACTATACGGGAGGTACTGGATTTGATCGCTATATGGGGAGAGGATTCAGTGCTAGCAGAACTTCGTTCGAAAAGACGAAATGCCAAAACTTTTGAAAAAATCTCCAAGGGCATGATGGAGAGAGGCCTCAATAGGGACTCACTACAGTGCCACGTGAAAGTCAAGGAGCTCAGACAAGCCTATCAAAAAACAAAAGAGGCAAACGGTCGCTCCGGGTCAGAGCCACGGACATGCCGCTTCTACGTCGAGCTGCATGCAGTTGTAGGGGGGGCCGCCACCACTACCCCACCTCTGACCGTGGATTCCGAGGCGGGGGTAATCTCATCAGCTACACCTGAGGATTCTGCAGATGAAGAGGAGGAGGATGAAGACGAGCTTGCGGAGAGCACACAGCACTCTGTTCTCCCCAACAGCCAGGATCTTTTTCTCAGCCTGACTGAAGTATCCTCCCAACCCAGTATACAAGACCATGACCCAGTGGAAGGGAACTCAGGTGAATTTACCTTTTAAAATATAAAACTTGTTTTAAAAGCAAGCGTTTTTTAATGATTACTTTGCCCTGAGGACTTGGGATGCATTTGCAGCCAGTACAGCTACTGGAAAAGTCTGTTAATGTGCCTGGGGATGGAGTGGAAATCCTCCAGGGACATCTCCATGAAGCTCTCCTGGAGGTACTCCAAAAGCCTTGCCACAAGGATTCTGGGCAGTGCAGCCTTATTCCATCCTCCATGGTAGGACACTTGACCACGCCATGCTAGTAGCAAGTAATCTGGTATCATTGCATGACAAAGCCTGGCAGCGTATGGTCCCGGTTTTTGCTGGCATTCAAGCAACATCCGTTCTTTATCTCGCTGTGTAATCCTCAGGAGAGTGATATCGCTCATGGTAACCTGGTTGAAATACGGGAATTTAATTAAGGGGACAGAGGTTCCTACTGGGCTGTTTGCCTGTGGCTGAAGAGAAATCCTTCCCTGCAGTTAGCCAAGCGGGGGGGAGGGAGGGGAAATTGGGCCTGAGCTTTTTCGCGTTTGGCTAGCAGGGAGCTTCCCTGATACCAGCCACGCGGTGGGGGGGGAGGGATAAAGTGATCATCCCAGAGAATTGGATGGGGGGGGGGGAGGGGTTAGTTTGTTTTCTTGCTGCTGAAGGTTAACAG